TCAACTGGCTATTTTTCTCCTTGAGGATTTCTGACTACAAGCCATTGCTTGCATATCCCAAATAAACAACCCCATCTCATTGAACTCCCTAAGGAGTTATTCCAATGCTTTCTTGGATAACAGAGTGGTGAGAAGTCAAGATTCACAATTATGAAGAGAAAATATCGGGCCTGAGTAAGGATTCCCCATTATGAGTACCTTCTGAGTACCTTCCATGGATGCACGAAGATGCATGAAGATGCATGAGGGGAGTGAGAAAATTCCTCTTCTGATATGATTTGGACACCACAGTCTCTGGATTGATCTCGTCTTGGACCTTGTCTCTAGATGATGTACCATCTTCAATCGAATGATCAATTGCCCCAGAATAATATGCCTAGAAGATTCTTTCAGGAGAACCACTGAATGCTTTTTCAAGTGAAAACTACATCATCAGGCATACTACGCCACAAAAAACTAATACAGTCTGTCTTCTATCAAAATAAAAGAGACATCCACCTGGTGAAAGAGAGTTTTGGAAGAGACGCCAAACAGGTGTTGGGCTTTTATAACCGCTTTGTAGTCTTCAATATCAAAACCGGGTACCCCAGAATAGGGGATGCGTCTAGCATTCATATTGTAATCAGAAGAGACGTTTGTGGGAGGAAGTCCTCAAAGATCAGAGCTGGGAAGAACTGGGAATAATAGGATGTAATGCATTGGGCTCGCATTAGCATGCTCATCAGGGTTCTTGTGTCTTGGCTTAAAAACTTTCCCCATGAATTCACTTGGGGAATAAAGACTGGCTTTTGTTGAACAAATTAGGGAACACAAAGTTATGGAGGATGCCCCTGATTAGAAGGTATGATGCCCCGGCGTGGAGACCACATCCGACGTTGGTTAACAAAAACGAAGCACTGATATAAGATCGTACAGTAAATGGGAAGCATCTGCTGATGAGATGTTTCAAGAACTCAGGATTGCGTAGCACTCCATGGTTGGAAGCAATTCCCAAAAGATAAGGAGAAGAGAGAACCTTTACTGTGACAGTAGGTGCAAGATGGTTGACATCGTCATCAGAGCTTTCATGACCTATCTCATCTGAGTTTTCAATCAATTATCTTCCTGCTTGAAGATATTTTTGACCACGGGCCAAAGCTTGCATGTATATCATATGGGGTTATTCCCTAACCGATCCCCGAACAAGTGCAGTAAGAAATCAAAGCTAAACCTCCAAGGAGAACCATGTCTGAATAAGAATCCCCAATCTTTGAGTACCTATTATGGATGCATGAATATGCATGGAGTGCATGAATAGATGCCATGTTATGTCCCTTCATTCCCAAGGAATTTACGTCCTTTGATTTTGATTTACGTAAGTAAAAATGGAAAAGTTTGGCACTAGGCTCACAAATACGACTCCTTGGAAATTACAGAACATGTATGTTAAGTATATGGTTAAGCATGTGATGTATGCAAAGGTATGAAATCAAATGGGATCAAGGTTCCATCATTTTTGAATATGATTAATGCACTGCTTCTGAACCATATGAGTATCACTAGATTAGAGGTCTGGCACAACTTCTGCATATAAGAACCAGGTACCATGTAGATATCCCATCGTACAGGGTCAAGGCTTTTGGAACATCGGATATTGTTGAGCATTTTCTGAATACGCTGGGAATGCCAAGATCAAAGGTTCGGATGAACTTCCAAGTAAGCAAGTCAGGAGTTCAGAAAATAAATCTGAAAACCATACAGTCACCGACAGAATACCATATGCATAAGTCGCCGACGGAAATCCAGAACATAGTCATTAGAACCACTAATCATCGTCTGATCATAGTCTCTATCTGAGCATGGGTAACCACCTGAACATAGTCACCATCTAAGCACGAGTAACCATTTGAACATAGTCACCAACTGTACCTGTAATGACAAATCCCTCCCCACTCACGGGTGAAGACTAGGTCAGGGTAAGGTAATGGTAACTCAAAAATCACGGGTCCTCCTGAAAGTGCTATGGGCTTACCCACAGACGTGGGTGCCAATAGTAATTCATTTGAACCTCATCCGAGCGTGGTATATGACATGACTGCACTAATCGGACCACATCCTATAGCCGTCATGCCCCCACTCTATTCCTAGTGTCCTAGTGCACTCTGGCCTGGGTACTGGGCCTTTTACCTCAATAGTGACATCCCCACCTAACATGGAAAACAGAGTCCAGCATAATAGATAACAAATAGGGAAAGCAATAAAATGCAATGCAAACTTATGCTCAGGCAAAAATGTACAAATGAGTAAACTGAAAGCATAAAAATAAACACCCAAAGAAAAGAAAGCAAGAGCTAGGAGCGACTCCGGGATGGACCAGCATTTGGTCGACTTATTCCCCAGTGAAGTCGCCAGCTGAAACAACCGGCTGAAAATCATCAAAACAATGAAGTCGCCATCGAACGTCTTTCATCCCACAGGAAGGGAAAGGTAAACATCGAGGAAACCTGAAAAGGGTGAAATCAAGGTCGAACGACCAAGAGATAAGGGTAAGGGAGTCTGTTACGCGAGGGGAAGGTATTAGCACCCCACACGCCCATAGTACTCTACGGTATCCACTCTTGTTGTCTATCTTATGGGTGTGTTTAATCTATGCTTACGGTTTATTATTGCTAAGGAGAATGCATGCAAGAGAAAAGAGGAAAGAACATAGGGAAAATAAAAGTTGTGCTCGTTCGGGCCCTACCCCGATGCATACGTATCCTTTTTAAGGAATCAGAGCAGCCGTAGTTTGGCTTACATGTTTTTGTTTGTTTGTATTTTTTTTACTAAACAATATTAATTTCGCCTTCTGCCGCAACTCGACCGTTGGAGACTTACGCGTCAGCACAGAAGTGAATTAACATGCTCTTCTGAAAAGATTTGGAGAAAATGTGCTTGGGCGCACAAAAGTTTGAATTTGGTTTAGGTTTTTAATGAACGATATTAATTTCGCCTTCTGCCGCAACTCGACTGTTGGAGACTTACGCGTCAGCACATAAGTGAATTAATATGCTCTTCTGAAAAGTTTTTGAAGAAAGGAAGGCCCGAAGGCAAAAAGAGTTTGTATTGGTTGGTGTTTTTTCACTTTTAGATAATAGCTAGTTAATCTCAAGAAAGAGATTTTAGCCACGTCTCTACTTATTCATGAAATGAGTCTTTGAGACTTGAACCACGCCGAAGCTTAGGATAAGAGAACAATAAGGTCGAGAAAAGACCCGCTTATCGTCTCACATACTTAACGAAGATATGATTCTAGTTAGTAAATTTAAAGTGTTTTGAATTTTGAAAGAGAAAGAAGTTTTTGTTGTTTTAAATGGATATGCGGAAAAAAAAAGTCAAGGGGAGACTGACCTATTTCTACACCTAATGTTATCATACTTCATATGATCTATAGGAAGCGATAAATGTGGGTGAAAATTGAATGAGGTTGCGATAATACCGAACGGAGAAGGTCCGTTGCCTCTTCAAAATCACACCAGCAATAAGAAAGCTCTACAGAAGCTACTCCGCACGAGTGATCAAAGAATTAGTCTCCAAGCATTCCATATTGCGACAGTTACATCAATATAATATCACAAGATTTTTTAAAAAAATGATAATGAGAATGACTGTTTAAACATAAAATAACAGAAAGTTTTAATAAAATTCTAAAGAAAAGTTCTGGAGAATTCTAAAAAATGCTACTATTTTTGTACATCATTTTTATCATGTAAAAAAAAGGTTCAAACAGATCAACAAAAATCGTTCAAAATAAACTAAAAAAATAAAGTAAAAAGAGACCCAAGGGGGTGCAAGTGGAATTCAGGAGGCGTGCTGAAGTAATCTAGGCGCTGCAGCAAATCTGGGCGCGGAGGGCCCATCAGGTTGACTCCATTAACCAGTTTTTTTTCACAAAACTTTCATAATCCAAAAGCTTCCCAAAAGAAATTACGACGGGCTTGAGAATAATTGAGCCCGTTCCAGCCTTTGATTCAAATTATTCCATTCAGTTTTATTGTTGTGCTTAAAAGAATAAATAAAAAAAACAATTAAAACAAAAAAAAATGCGATTTGCAAGAGGGTTAGGGTTGGAAAATTGGGACAACCGAGCTTCTTCTCCCTTCCTCTTCATGTGGCGCCGTGAAACTTCTACTCTCTCCTCTTCTTCGATTCATACATCAACCTTGATTTCTTTTAACAAATCCTCCGCCGTGGCGACTACCATCGGCCTCCTCTAACCACCATGATGCAGACAAGACTCAACCTTAAATTACAACGGGAGTTCAAGAAGAACGTAAACCTGACTCGAACGGTGGCGAGCACAGCAAATCTCGGTGATGTGCGAAGTACCGTAATCCTCTCGCTTTATTCTTATCTTCTTCTATCTTCTTCCTCATTTTCTTTCTGTGAGTTCTTTGTTGTTGTTGTTGATTCTACGCAACTCGTGATGTTGATGAAACCGATCGAAAATCTGAGTTGATAATGATGCAAGTGTTGTGGATTCTTGACGAAGTTGCTGTGAAACAAAGATGAAGATTGAAGATTGTTGCATCAAGATAATGCCGATGCAGTTGTGTGGATGTTGCAGAATTGATGCGATGATGATGATTGGCGGTGATATTGAGGACGAAGAGTGAAGGTTTTGATCGTTGAAGAAGCTGAACTTAGTAGAAACTTGCAGAGATTTTCAGATTTTTTGGTGAGTCTTCTCTTGTATTCAATGAGTGAAGTTTCTCTTTGAGTTTTTTTTGTGTGAATGAATCATAAATCATGACCCTCAAACTGAATGATAATCTCCGTGTTATATAGATTTTCTGCTATATTGTTTAGAAGATGGGATTTGGTTAGAAACTGTTTAGATTTTGTTAGGAGTTTATCAGGAGTTTGTTAGGAGTTTGTTAGGACAGTTAGAAAATCCTGTTAATTCTGTTTGCAGTTAGTAGAAGTTAGTTTAAGAGGAATTCTGTTTTGTTACAAATTCTTAGAACTGAACTGTTAACTGTTTATTGATTTTTGCTTTTTAATCTTTCTATGCAGGGCTGAACTGTGGACGGGCTAGGAGTTCCCTCCTGGACATCATTTTTCTTTAGCACCATTTGACACATGTATGCAAGGGTTACTTCTATGTCCACTACATTTAATTTCCACAACGAATTCAACAAAGTACCCTTATTGAGACGAATATGGGAGTCAACATTTTCAGGGTAACTACCACTAGTTCTAAATTGCCTGCTAAGTCCTTCTTGATGTTTGTGTGACTTTGTGTATATTTTAACAGGTAAGGATTCGGCAACTTCAACGGGCGCGGGAACAGATCCGATAGAAGATACAAAAAGGTGGGGAGATAAAACCACTGATTCATTTTCACTAGTTTTGTTCTGATCAGCGTTCTCGGTTTCATTGGCATCATTTGAGGCGTTCCCACAGTCATTGGTACTTTCATTTTTGTTTGTGTTTCTTTGACTCGAGTTTGCATTGTTATTCTGTGCATATTCAGAATTACTCGAGGATTCATCTTTCTTTATTTGAATGTTATCAGGTTGAGACTGAGCTAAATGATTTGACCTTTTAGACCGAGTTTTCCATGAATGCCAATTTATAGATAAACCAGGATGTTTATGATAGAGTTGCATCCCTAATTCTAGTGTCAAAGGAACTTGTTCACATGGAGATTTGTTTATACTGTTGACACAGAACCATAGGTTAAGGCCTATTTTAGATGTCCAATCTTTATATTCATCAAGTTCTTCACCACTAATTGCCAGATCTATTAGAGCCAAATTTTCAGGGGAAGCAATATCTATTGGAACCTCATTATAATCAAGTTGGCTGTATCAATGTCATAAATGGAAAACCGAGTATTCCACAGCCCACACAAGCTAGTGCTCTTGAGTCAGTTTGTAAGTGACAAGGAAGACTATCATCACAACCATCATATAAATCGGTCCGATTCTCCATGTACAAACTCATATCATCAAGAAGATAATGGCTACTCTTATCTTCAGAACTAATATTATCATTTGACATGTCTGTCATATAGGTTCCAGAAGTAGAAGCTAAATCCGGCAGCTGACGATATTTTCCAGAATCAGCATTCCAAAAAACAACTTGTTTAGTAGCTTCTTTTCCAAGAAGAATGGATAGCAATTTGTTTTCCTGCAGCATATCTTCTATAAAATCCTGCTTTACTAGAATCTTTCTTCCTTCTCAATGCTAGGAACCTTACGAGGAATGAGCTCTGCAATTGTCTTCCAATAAGCTTTGTCTGAATTCTGTTTTTTTTAAAACTATGCAGAAATTTGAATTGGATTGGTTTTATTTTGCAGACCCGGTACCGTGGCATAGAGGCATAAATATTGAAGTTCACACATGGCAGCATTATTGAAGATGATAAAGAGGAGAGAACTTAGAAGACCAAGCTAGCATACTTTTAGGAACCACTTATACAAATATCAATTCTTTTTGTATGATATTTTTGTAGAGATGATGAGTTAATGTAATGACTTGAAGCATTATGGCATATTTTGTAATGACTTTTTTTTTGTTCAAGGCTTCCATAGACAATTGTGAATGAAACTGAATGATAACACAAAAAAATCCTCATATTTTGAATTGGTTCTTAAGAATTTTGAATTTTACATGCTAAGAAAACTTGAACTGTGATACACATACTTTTGGAATTTCCACTTAAAATCTTGTCTTAAAAAATGCTCGAAAACCTTGAATGACATTGCATTTTTGTCAACTTGAAATCAATGGTCTTAAACTTGGAATTTTGAATCTTGAGCCAATTGGAAACTGAGTCTTCCACTTGAAATCGAAAGTGATATCATGCCTTGAATAATGTTTGAAATGTTGTATTATTTTGCCTTGGTAGCTTGAATTTCAAGAAATCAACCATGGATGGATATTTCAATTTACACGCTTGATTAATGCACCTCAATCTTAATTGAAACCATAAGTCCAAGTTGACTTGTGAAGAAATCCACATGGACTTTCTTCTAATACTAGTATGAATCACCTCCTGTTACAACATGTGCTTGAGAACCTCAACTAAACTAGAGACCATGTCTCATAACCTTTGCATTTACTTATACCTTGCATTACAGGAAATACTTATGACATTTGCACCTTAAGAAACTTGAATGGATACTTCCCTAATCAAATCCTCAATTCCCCATGAAACTTTAACTTGTATTACAAATAACAACTCGAGAGAACAATAATCCCTTGAGGAATCCTTTGAAGATGAATATTGAACTTTAGACATGGGAGGAATAACCACCAAGATAGCCTTGAGGAAGATATCCTTGTAGCTTGATAAGGAAGCGATCCACAATAATTAATCAAAACCCTAAATTCACAATTCAATGTACGAAGAAGAACCAGAAGAACCAGTCTTGTTTGATAAACACCTCGAACCGAAAGTAAACCATAACTTCACGATCAATGGTCCTCTGAACCGTGATGCAACAAAACCTGAATTGGTTAATTGAAGAGTGGATGAATGCCATGTAAAAGTCATTAAGCCTGATCAAATGATAGGCACACTTATATGAGGAGACGTCTTGATTAAAAGACCCTGTATGCTAAGTCACGCCCTTGAGTTCTTGACAAGAAAAACTTGTGACCTGTTGTTTATTAGAAGATAATAGCCTTGCTGCTTGAGGGAGAAGAAGTCCAAAAATGAGAATGAACCAGAACCCTAAATCCACAGCTTGCTGCCTGAATAAGAAATCATCCTTTATTGGATATGAGCGCCTTAACCATCGTGAAACCCTAGTATCGCACAACCACTGAACTTTGAACCTTAGAGCTATATTGAATGAAATGTATGCCATGTTAGTGACCTAATGAAATAGATGCAGATGAATGCAAAAAGTCTAAGCCAAAAATAAAAGAAATTAGGAGGGCAAATTTTGGGGTGCAACAGTAGACCTCTGACCTGAGAATGAAAGATGACTTCCTGGCCAGATACAGGTATTGATCTTCAATCTCTTCATGCAGATACTTTCCTGGCTAGATACAGGTATAGATCTACAATCAATCGTCCACAGATATTTCCTGGCTTGCTACAGGTATTGAATCTGGAACTTCAAAAGGTTGATGGGTTGTCTCTACTGACAGGTTATCTCAGAAAAATCTTTAGGAATCGATTTAACTGAACCAGGGGAGGTTTTGTCTTCTTTGACGAGTTGTCTCTTTTGATGGGTTGTCTTCATGGACGGGTTGTCTTTATTGACGGGTTGTCTTCATTGACAGGTTGTCTTCATTGACGGGTTGTCTTTATTGACGGGTTGTCTTCATTGACAGGTTATCTTCATTGACGGGTTGTCTTCATTAACGGGTTGTCTTTATTGACAGGTTGTCTTCATTGACGGGTTGTCTTCATTGACGGGTTGTCTTCATTGACAGGTTGTCTTCATTGACAGGTTGTCTTCATTGACAGGTTGTCTTCATTGACAGGTTGTCTTCATTGACAGGTTGTCTTCATTGACAGGTTGTCTTCATTGACAGGTTGTCTTTATTGACAGGTTGTCTTCATTGACAGGTTGTCTTCATTGACAGGTTGTCTTCATTGACAGGTTGTCTTCATTGACGGGTTGTCTTTTTTGACTGAATTTAGAGTTTAACTGCATCTTTCCTGAAAGGTAAAGGTCAGTCATATGCAATGCATGATATGGATCGAGCAATGATGTTCTCAACATAAATGAGATTGTATGATATGATGCGTATATGCATGTATCATAATGTATGACAATGTGATGTTTATGAATGTATCTTCGTCTGGGAAAATAAATCCTTGACGAATGCCGGGAAGTTCGTTGAATCCTGGGCTGATGTTGAAGAGTAGAGTCCTTCATTTCCGTTGGGGATGATGATTGCAAGAATAAACCGGTAGGAGAAGATGACTCCGTTGGGGAATAAACTTGTTAAAGAGATTACTCTGTGGGGAATTACTCTGTGGGGAAGAGACGTTCTGCTGAGATTTTAACGATGACTCCGCTGGGGATTTCGTTGATAAGCACTATTAGGGAATTTGATGAACTCCGTTGGGGATAGGAAGAACTTTACTGAGGACGTCTTTCCGTTGCAATTTGCTGAGGGTAACCCAGTTAGACTCTTGTGGGGATAACCTCTGAATTTGGCTGGGGAGATATTTTTGTACTCTACGGGGGACAAGCTTCCAGAATCTACTAGGGAACATATTCAACTATCCTGGGGAACCTTTTGGACTGCACTGGGGAAATGGCTCCACTGGGATGTCCGTATTCCGCCGGGGAACATTCTTATACTCTGCTGAGGAATATTAAGAACGCCGGGGATGCTTGCTAGGGGATATCTGTATACTCTGATGGGGAATATTAAGATTTTCTAGGGGTACCCAACTTTTCCAGGACTGGTGGTAGACCAACTCTGCTCGGGGGAGAGTATTGCTGACTTGCTGGAGATACTGTGCCTTTTCAGGGCTGATGGGAGGCCAACTCTGCTTGGGGAGAGTATTGCTGAATCTTGTCTTACTCTGCGGGGAGTGAAGGTATCTTGGTCATGTTCTTCAGCTGAACTTACCTTGGTACCTCGGTGGATAGAGCAACTAGATCGCTTAGACAATTCTTATTTTCCCAGTTTCAGCGAGAGAAGGTACCTGCGGAGGTTGATAATTGTCGATTGACAAATCTTCTTCTGGTAGGCAAGTGACGAGATGACGGGACATAGTCGTACGCTTTGATCCCTAATTTTTGCCTGGACCGCCTTTTCGGGTTTTCAGTCCATCGGGATACCCTTTTTTGCCCAAGCCGCCTTTTCAGGTTTTCGACTTGTCGGGATTACAAATTTCTTTTATTTTCATCCCTTATTTTTGCTCGAACCCTTTTGGTTCATCGGGAAGCCCTTATTTTTGCCTAGGCCAGTCGACCTAGCGGGTCTTTATTCATGTGCAGTATTTTCTGACTATGTCCGCGCTCTCAGAATGTAGGGAGTTATCACTGTCAATAGTGTTGTGTGGCCATACTACCAGAAGATGTCTGATCATGCAAGATTCGTTGCTGGAATTCATGCCCAATGCCCCAGTTGATTCAGATGGAGATTTGCCCCTAGCTGTTTGGCATTTTAAGAGATTCCTTGAATCTTGACTTAACTGCCCCATATGATAGACAATGCTCATGCCGTGCCCCTTGGTTGGAAGTGTCTTTGCACTTGAGATGACCCTTGAGAAGATTTTTGTTCACTGGATATTCGTCGTGCGAATTTCTCTGCTGTTGAACAAATAGTCATATGCAAACAATATTATTTTAAGAATGCAAAGCTTATGTCTGTCTTGAAGTTTTGAAAATGCATTTTTCAGTAAAACAAGCAAATTTTGTAAAATGTGATGTCAACTCAAGATTTTATAGCAAGCCCTACAGGAGTCAGGATACCTTTTGTAACAATATGCTTTCGAACTAACCCATGCTTCAGCTAGGACTTTTTGAGGGTTGTAACGTGGCCTGGTTCACGGTTTAAGAAACAAAGGATAAAGGCTCAAATTTTATTTGTACCCACCCGTTCTTCGTGATGTTCTTCGATCCTAAACTCAGCTAATCATGCATTAGATCTTACTTGATTCTTTGCTTTGATATACCAGTGATGGTTCGAATATTTACAATTTATTTTGAATAGGCAGTCATTTCTTTTTTTGTTAAGGGTTTATAGGACCTCTTTCTTTTTGATTTCATTATCCCTGTTTTTTGCCTGAACTGTTTCTTTTGTGATTACAGTCAGCGGGATGCCCCAGTTTTGTAAGTCTCCTTCATAGGTTTTGACTTAATGGGCTTTTATTTTGAGAAATAATGACTTCCTGTCCTTATGATTATACGGAACCAACACCATTTTTTGTTTTAGAAGAACTCCTGTGATGCCATTCATTGTGGACCTGGATCAACTGAGGAAACTACCCTGCCCCAGGTTATAGTTAAGGGTTTTAATTTGTAAAAAGAAAAACTCCAACTTCTTTGGCTCAAAGGGGTTGACTAGGGATTATCTTCCTTATAACTCCACTGTTTAGGATTTGATACAATGCCTGTACCTCATCAGCGGGGTCTGTTCAAAAGCATACTGTAAAGATCGTGGTATCGTTTTCGTCATCCTCCCTCAAAAGGCTTAGAATTTTATAATCGAGAGTTAAA